AGGAGAAATATTGTCTTCGTATAAAAAGTTCAACAGGCAACACTGCCGATATTTTCATCAATTGTTTCGTGAAAATTTATTTTCTTATTGCGCAAATTCAAGTAAGTATACAAAAAAAATGAAAAATATTGGTAATATTTTGAACTAACCCTTTCGCTACTTTGATGCCATATGGCGTCATGCTTTTTTTGAATACTCACAGATTTAACTGAGCTTATCTGAAATTATATTTTTATATGCAACGCTGTAATGGAAAGTTTTATAAACTATATTTTAATACGGTATTGTTATTTTTATGAGATGAAAAATTTCTATTTTAAAACTTTACTAAAATATCGATTTTTTCTGCTTAGAAAGGTCTACATTAAAATACAATATTTTACCAAATAACCCAATAAATTAAAAACAAATAAATATACTATAGTCTCCAAAATAGTGTCAAATATTGCTAGAACTTGCAATTTATTTAAAAAGTGCTAATAAACGCGTGGTATATTTTTAAATTTGTATGATGCCATATCGTCGCCTGGGTAAAAGATTGTCGTAAGCGCCATTTTGACGATTTTTAAGTCTAAATGCAGTTATATATTTTGAAATAAGGTCTTTCGATTGGTGTTATCACCTTTTAGTTATCTTCGTTAGTTTCCGAGATATTGGCTACAAATTTTTCGATAATTTAGTAAAAAATTAGTTGGTGATGCAGTCATATTAAACTATTCAATATCTTAAAAATGGCGTTCTCGACTTTGGGATATTTCCTTTAGTTTCCGAGATATTGAGTAATAAGTGTCGTTAATTTAGTAGAAATTTTGATCACATTTTGTCGTATTTCATACAAAGTGGCTGCGAAATTGTGGACAAATGACGCTTACGACAAAATTTTACTAAAGAAAATCCTTCATAAACTCAAAACTAATTAACAATAAATATTAAAAATTAAATAATTTAAGAATTTTGTTAACTAGTAACATTTTCAGACTTTGGAGAAAATCTATCTTCGCGTTTTTGAGAAATTGCATTTCAAACTTCAATTGATTCCCACACAACCTGCCGAAATTAACATACGACAATCTTTTACCCAGGCGACGATATGGCATCAATAATATTTGAAGGAGCTGAAATCCGCACCAGCAAATAACGATTTATTTGTACTGGTAAATTGCAACTAGTAAATTTTTTAAATGAATTATTAAATCTATGCACGTTCCAACTTATTTTATTGAGTTTTGTAGTGTTATTTAATTTAAATAAAATAAAATACCATATTAAAAAATCGTTGCGTATTTTTTACGCCAGTTAGTACAAATGATGCCATATGGTATCTGTGTTACTTGTTTGCTATACCATAGCAGACTGCTTTATTGGTAGTTCAATTATAATAGTAAATACATCTTATGAAACTTAAACCTGCAGAGTCGCCATATAATACATAAAACATCTCTTTTAAGATAACATACCCTACAAGACGGCGATAGCCAATTCACCACTACATTTACAACTTTTCAGATGCCTACCTACACAGTCACATTTGGTTTTAAAGGAATTTCCTAAAGTTAGAACAGTATGTTTTATGAGGATACGAAACGCATGTGCTAGAGCGAACAAGCGATAGGCACTGCAAGCAAAGCTAAACTTGACATTTTGATCATAGCAGCATGAAAATTATACGTCACTATTATAATTTCTTTTGAACGTTTGCGAACATTGGCGGTAAGTTGGTTTGATTTTCAATTTAATTTGTTAAAATGTTGATATTTTCATTTTGGATCGCAGCAAAAGGAATACGCTAGCAATTTTAAATAGGTATGTATAGAATTTTTTCGCAAAATCCATATGTTAAGATTTTATTTCAATTTGCAGAAACTCCGCTGGAAATCTCTTCAAGAGATCTGTGGCGGAAAACAATTTGGACAGCAATTTAAAGTGAGTTTATAATAGAAATTTAAAGCAGTGAATTTTAGAAGAATTTATAGCCTGTTCCCTTACTCCAGGATTAGTCAGAAATAGGAAGTGGGCCCAGTACATACACACAAGGCAACTTCAGTACTATCTTCCGGACTAAATGACTAAATCCTGGAATACTGGAACAGGTTATTTAAGTGAAGTGAAATTAGAAGTGTACAATGCATGTACACATTTAACTATGGCCAAGGATTCTCTTATTTCGATTAATCGATCTGGCCATAGTTCCACAATTTTAATACATATGTACATGTATGTTGGACGTACATAAGGCATCGCACAAAAGTGTAAAATTTTTGGAAGGCTAATTATTTAAAAGAAATTATAACGAACAGAAAGGCAATTAAATTACCTTTCTCTTAATAAGCATTAACATCAATAATTCAATAAGAAAGGCATTTAAATTACCTTTCTCTTAATACGCATTAACATCAATAATTTTTAAATAATTTCTCAAAATAAAGCCTTGGCTAACAACTTCGTAAAATTATGTACATGTATGTTAAACGTACATAAGGCATCACACAAAAGTGTAACATTTTTTGAAAAGAGGCTAATTTATTTAAAAGAAATTATAACGAACAGGAAGGCAATTAAATTAAATTGATAATAACCTGGCAGTTGTCTCACTCCCGCATTCTGCCTTAGCCTGTTGCTTTCGTTTTTGATTTATGGAAACTACTACTAAAATACCAGGAGAAATATTGTCTTCGTATAAAAAGTTCAACAGGCAACACTGCCGATATTTTCATCAATTGTTTCGTGAAAAT